TGTACAATATTTTTGGCAATAACAAAATCCTTGTCAAATAAAGAAAATATATTTGGCATTTTGAATTTTTGTTTGAAGATATGTAATTTTGAACAACATCATCTTCTAACCAAAATGAGTATGTTTATTAGAAGCTGTTTCTTCTTAAAAAAAAAAAAAAAAAAACAAATTGAAGATGTAATGAAAACATGAGACAAATCCATTAATTCCTCGTAATTAATTTCTCTCTACCACTTGCATCATTTTACTTTTTATACGACAAATCCATTTTTTATTAAACTTTGTATTCATTAAAATGAAGAAGGAGGATTGACCAAAGAAGTTGAAAGTCAAAGCATTAAAATGAATGAATAGGCATGTTATGATACGGGATAATACAGAAAAATGAGATAACCAATAAGTGCATGCATGAACCTGAAATTCATCATCGATTATCGTCAACCATATCACAATTAACACCCTAATACTTCCGCAATTGACCTTTATATTTCGCCGTCACTTCCAAATTCTTTAATTAACTAATTAGTTGATTAATTAATTAATTAATTGGGGTCTATTAAATTATCGAAAAGGAAATTACAAGTTCACAAAATGAACTAAGTAAACCATCTTTAAACTTAATACTTTTTTTTTCTTTTTTCTAAAACTTTAGTTTTATTCAAAGCCATCGAATCATAATAACTATTTCAATTTTTGTTTTTCTACGTCTTACATAATAAGACGCTGAATGCATATGAAACCGTACTTTTTCTATATTTTCCATTATTCAAATCCATAAACGATAAGTTATAAATAATTAAGATAATTAATAGAGCACAAGTTTTTTTTTCTCCTCATGATAATATATATATATATATATATATATATATATATATATATATATATATATATATAATGAGAACAAATATTGATCATCCCTCAAAAAATATAAAAAATAAAGAGAGAGAGAGAGCTCTTTTGCATTAAAAAAAATGATTAGAGTAGTAATCATTAAGTATGTTTTATTGATAATTATTTAATTATCAATAATTATTAATATATAAACTGATAATTGGTAATTTAGTAAAATAATTATTAATGACAAATAAACTTAACAGTGTTAATAATAAAATACATCCTAATAAATTTCATAGATTTTTATTGATAAATAATTTAGTATCTATCCCAAATAGTCATGGTTAATTAATTGTCATCTTTTTAAAAGAATTTTAGCTTAAGTAGAAGTCCTCAGGAGTTTTGCTTATAATCTTTTGGATATAATTTTTTTTCTATCCAATACAATGGTGTAATTGAATAAAAATTAATAATCAAAATAAATATAAATAATATTATCAATAATAAATATTAATTAATATATTGTTATTTACTAATGATAATATAAATTTTATTTATTATGATTATTAATTTTTATTTAATTTTGTAATTTACTTAGATAAAAGAATGATATATTTTTATAATATAACCATTATATGATTATGTAGTACAGCATATAATTGACTATTGTAGTAATAATAATAATAATAATAATAATAATAATTTCATTTTTTTAACATTGTTTTTTAAAAGATTGGACTTAATTTTTTAAATGTTTAGTTTCATTCTGTCTTAATATACTACTCATTTTAGTTTGTTTCACTCTCTTTATTTATTTATTTATTTAGTTTTACTTCTTTGAGTTTTATCAACATTAAATCATATAATTACATTTTAATTTTACCTATAATAACTCATGTTTATACTAAAAGCGTCTTTAACTATAAGTAATTTTGTGAAAGATAATTAACTGGTTAAAATTAACATGTGATATTTGTTGGCATGAATTTTAAAATAACTTATGAAAAATATTTGTTGATCGTGTTATATCAAATTTACTGACATATTTGCAAAGTTTTTTATAATTTTAAAAAATAAGCGACACATAAAATAACATAGTAATTAATAAAAGAGAATATATTAATTTTAAAAACCTCATCATTTTATTTTGCATAAATTAAAAGTTCTAACAACAAAGGTTAAATTTAAGAATATTCTTACAAATCTTGATGAGTTGTTATAATTATGATAAATAAATGTTCACACGGATAAAATGGAAACGAGGAATAATCAACAAGAAAACCGAGTTAGAGGAATGGCGGCGAGAAGAGACTGCTTCCATGACGTGACCACAAAACAGAAAAACAGAAACAACTCTTCGATGTTCGAACAACCAATTAGAACACAGACTTTTCCAATCACAACCATTTCACACGTGTACTTCAAAATACTTGTTTTCAACAAAATAAGTAAATTTTTAAGTTTTTTAGGAGATTAAATATAACACCACTATGTTGGTTTCCAACTCTTTTAGATGACAACAGTATGAAAAAAAAATTCCAATGCAACCAATTTATTAATATAATAAGTATAAAAGAATTTAATGAAAATAAGAATAGTTTTAAATTATTATTATATTATTAAGATAGTTATAAATTAAATGTTTAATAAAATATGGTTGTTAAGATAGTTTTTTTAAGATATATATATATAATATTTTCTTTTTCTCTTTTAATGGCTTCACTGGAATCAGCTTAGGGTTCAAAATTATAATTCAATTGTTTCATCAAACACACAAGAGATATTGTCACGGGAGCTAAGAGAGGATAAATTACCCACGTCAATTTTTTGTTTAAATTAAAAAATTGAGAGTGTTCTCATTTTATGATTTTGTTCTTAAAGATTATTTTAATAAATTAAAAAAAATGGTTATAAATTATTTTTGAACTCAATCCTAATATGAAATTCATTTTCACGTATTAAAACATAATGCAATTATATATATATATATATATATATATATATATATATATATATATATATAAACTAACATGATGTAAATTATAACATAATATTTATTTATTTATTTTAATTTTTAAAATATAAATTTAGGATTTAAAAATTTAAAATATAATAATATAGTTAGAATTCATCCAATATCATTCATTTTAAAATTTTAGTCGAAGTTCTTACAATTCAACAAATTAAGAAAAGAGAATAATTATTTTTAACATTTATAATATATTGAAACAATTTTAGAATATCGAAATAATTAAAATCTAAAATAAGGTTGAATTATAATCATGAAGAAATAATATTTTTTCCCACATACTAAGAAATATAACGTAAACATTTCATAAATTAATTATTACTGATAAATCAATTAATAATTATTTAAAATAAAATTTATAAACTCAAATTCCTTTTATCATATATCTCTAATACATTATTTTTTATTACATTACCATAAATTTAATATCATTTTATCAATAGACTAATGTGCATAAAACATCTTCCAATTTTTTTTAAGAAATAAAAAAGCTATATTTGAGATCTAACAAAATAACGTTTATATACACATCCATTCAACTGTATGTATGAAAATGCAAGATGAAAAGAACGAGAAATCAAGAGAAAATAAAAATAAAATAAGTATTATATGATGAGAAAAAATGAGACAAATGACATTAAAAAGTTACCATGAAGATTATTCAACTCATTGAAGTGTTATACGTACAAATAAAGAATATATAAAGCATTCACCTGTGGAATTGTATGCATGCATGATTAAAAACCTTGTCAACAGTTTTTTTCGTAATATGCATGTGCTTACGTATATCTGTACCTCTACTATGCATACATAATGCTATGTGATTAGTAATAAAATAGACTAGAAAAATAAAATGAATAATAAAAAGAATTGGAATTAATGAGGTGTTTGATATTGAGAATGATTTATATTTCAATTAAAAACGGGGTAATATAGATTATAGGACAAATAATTAGAAAAAAAAAGTATACAAGATAATATATATGTGAAGAGAAAGAAAAATAAGAAATTAAAAGTGAAATGAAAAATAATAACGTACAATTATAATAACTCGCTGTTGATATCTTATTCAATTTATATAAGCGATGATGTATGATACGATGGAACAAATTTTCAAAGTTTTTGAAAATTCTACATATTTGACTATAGTTTCTGCAGCTTATTGCCGTACCAGTTCTCACCTCACCGTTAACTGTTTCTTTTAATTTATTTTTAATTAAAATAAATAATCTGCTAACACTTCATTCATAAAAATTCAAATACTCAAATAATAAAAAACACAAATTCAACAAGGAAAATATTTTATAATATATATTTATATTGCTATATATTTTATCAAATAGGAATAACATAAATAAGAAGATTTTGTAAGGTGATGTAAGATAATTCATAGGTAAAGAATTAATTTGTTGAAAGAAACAAGCAGTATCAACGAAGGAAAACAAAAGTTCATTGAATCTTCATACATCAGGCTCATTAATTAATTCATTTTATAAAATATTTTTAAAAAAATGTTAAAGAAGTAGGAAGATAGTGAGAAGAATTAGTATTTTATTTTATTTTTGAAAGTCACTATAAATTAATTACTAAAGTTATAGAAAATGAAGGACTCAAAGATAATTAACATTAAATAATTATATATATATAAAAAAATGAATTATCAAAATTCATTTGCTTTGTGCTCAAGCATCATGAGCGTAAATTTGGACTGAGTACGGTTTGAGGAAAGTTTAATTGGAAAAAGATGTAGTCATGGTGTACGTGTTGTTAAAATTGCCTATTTGATTAAAAAACAAAACTTCCTTTGCAATTGGAGGTCAAAAATCCACCAGGTCACTAATACGTGTGTAATATATAATATCGCACCCCAAACACGAAACCAAGTCCATCTTCATAACAAACAATACTTACGTAAAGAAAGTCAGCAAGGCTGGAAAGTCAAATCCCCACATTCGTATTTCTCCAAACACCAACGCGGCTGTCTATATATATCCCTTCTCCTGCCCTTGCAAGCGCCAATCCAATCTGCGCATATTCACACTGCAAACTCCCTCTCATCTGGAAAACAAGTTTTGTAATTAATCACCAGAAACAAACACACAGTTAAGACTCAGTAACGCCATTGTTTGCTGCAAAGATGAGAAATGTTTGCTGGGAGCCTAAAACGCAGTCGTTTACCTTTTCACATCACACTTCGCCACCAAATTCGTCTTCAACTTCCACCACCACCACCACCACCACCAAGGAAACCATCGTTTCCAGGGGCATAGAGGAAGCAGAAGCTCTCATACTAAAATGGGACCCTGAAACCTCCGCTTACGGAAGAGTTACCTCTCTCTTCTACAACGATAAAACTGAGGCCATGCACTACATCCACTGCGTTAACCAGCTTCAAAAAACCATGCACGCGTTGCTTGCAGACAACCCTTCCTCACGAAAACTTGTCAACGCACAAAACCTAATGCAAATTGCCATGAAGAGGCTCCAGAAAGAGTTCTACCAGATGTTATCCATGAACCGGGCCCACCTTGACCCGGAATCAGTCTCCACCAGATCCTCCACCACCTCTAGAAGCTCTTTTTGTTCCGACAGCTACGATGAAGCCACAGCGGAAGATGACGTTCATCACACAGGGGATTGTATCTCCGAAGTCGAACGCGTTTCGTCCGAAGCTGTGGCGGATCTGAAGTCCATCGCTGACTGCATGGTTTCCAACGGTTACGGCAAGGAATGCGTCACGGTTTACACCACGATGCGAAAATCGATCGTTGACGAAGGCATATATCGCCTCAGCGTGGAGGAATTGAGCGCGTCGAAGGTGAAAAAGATGGAATGGGAAGTGCTCGAGTTGAAAATTAACGGTTGGTTAGAGGCGGTTAAGATCGCCGTGAGGACGCTCTTCGCGGGAGAGAGGATCCTCTGCGATCAAGTTTTTGGTGCGTCACCATCCATTGCGGAAGCTTGCTTCGCCGAGATTTCGAGAAGCGGAGCCGCTCTGCTATTCGGATTCCCCGAACTCGTCGCCAGTAAGAAGAAATCACAGCCGAAGAAGATCTTCCGAATGATTGACATGTACGCCGCGATCGCCGCGCTGTTGCCGGAGATTGAATCGATATTCTCGCTCGATTCAACAACCGCAGTTAAATCTCAAGCCTGTGCTCTACTTCACCGACTCTCCGAGTCGGTACGAACGAGTCTCTTCGAATTTGAGACCGCAATGCAGAAAGACTCTTCCAAATCGGCGGCCAAATTCGCCGGTGTCCATTCCCTGACAGTGCAAGTAATGAATCACTTGTCCACACTCGCTGATTACAGCAACGTGCTCTTGGAAATTTTCTTCGACGTGCCACCGCCGTCGAGGTCGCCGTTGCCGGAGTCTTACTTGTACAGTCCACAATCTGACAATATTACGATAACGGGGACGGAATTCTCGGCGCATATGGCGCGGCTGATTCTAGTCCTTCTTTGTAAGATCGACGGCAAATCGAGACACTGCAAGGAGGTTTCATTGTCTTACCTGTTTCTCGCGAACAATCTCCGGCACGTGGTAGCCAAGGTCCGAACTTCGAACTTGCTCTACGTTCTCGGCGATGATTGGGTCTTGAATCACGAAGCGAAGGTGAAGCGACTGTTGGCGAACTACGAGAGAGTGGCGTGGGACAAAGTGCTTTCGTCCTTGCCGGAAAATCCGACGGCGGCAATGTCGGCGGCGGAGGCGAGGGTTATCTTCGGGACTTTCAATTTAGAGTTCGAGAAAGCATACCGGAGAGAGAACGCGTTTACGATTCCTGAACAGGAATTTCGAGAAGAGATAAAGCAGTCGCTGTCGAGAAAAATAAACCCTATTTACCAGGAGGTGTATGAAACACGCCGCAATTCAGAGGGATCGGTGAGAGAAATGAGAGAGTACGTGATATTTACCCCTCAAGATGTTGAGAATTACATGTTGAATCTTTTCTCCTCAAGAGCAAGCTCCACTACTGAAGAAAACAATTTTTTTTCTGTAAGAAAAAAATACTGTAAAAAATCCAAATGAAAAGGCATTTCATTACAATGGTGCAAGGATTATATTTGGATCCTCGTATCCATTATTTCTCACATAATCTTGAAAATGTTAATTATTCTTTTTGTTGTATTTCAAATTTTAATAGTACAATTTTATTCTATTTATTTATTTGGATTATAACCATTATTTTATGAGTTTTCCTCGAACAAAACATAAAACATAAAACATAAAACATAAAACAAGGGTGTATGAAGTTAATTAGGAGATATGTGTAGACTTTATTCTATAAACACTGTATTCATTCAGAAAGAAATAAGCTATATGCGTGTATCTGCATGCATGCATGCAGAAGTAAAATTCATTGTATGAGAGATACAGTTTCTGCTTTATTATATTTTCTCTTCCATTTTCGTCCATCTCATGAGTGTCTCAGAATTTAATTTATCGAGTGTTATAATTAATAACTTATACCTCCTATAACTGAGATCTTGATCCAATTTCATTATTATTATCTATTAATTGTAGAAAGAAAATACTGTGGGAAAAGGAAAATTCTACGAGTTTCAAAGATGAGGTTCTAATGAAATGAATGGTGTGAATTTGTTGCCCCAAAACTGAAATTCAAATGGGAACTTCCAAGAAAAGAAAAAGCTTCCCGAAACTGGTAGGGCCACTGGGAAGGGGTCATGACCTTGGACAGTTTTACATTCAGGAAAACACAAATGTTTTTAGTTCTTATTAAATTTTTACGTACTATTACAACTTCAGAACTAACTCATCAATTCAAAATTATATAGAAACTAAAATTAAATTGACTAAAAATGCTTAAATAAAAAAGACATTTAAAATTCGTACCTCTAAAACAAGGCAAATGCAATTTAAAAGTAAAGTATTTAATTGAAAAATTTTTCGCGAGATTACAAATAATTTTTAATTTTATCAAATACATTTGTAAGCGTACTTATTTTCTACAAAATTTCCTATTATTTTAAAAAATATTAAATAAAAATAGATATATTTGATGTCTTTAAAATATAAAATACATTTAGTATTTACCAGATATTATAAAATAATTCAGAATTATTATTTTTTATTATATAAGATGTGATTTTCAACTGATCAATGATATTTCAATGGTATATATATATATATATATATAAACGAGTTTTATTTAACATTATCAGTTTGATAACAACTTCTTTGAATTTCTTCGAAGTGTAATGCATATTTTTCAAGACTTATTGTTTATCGATATGCAAAAAATCCATCTCATATTTGTCAATTATTCAACATCAAAAAATTACATCTACTAAATTAGATTATATTGTAATTTTAATTCATTTTTTTAATCTTTTAAAATAATTTTATCTTTTCTTATTGTGGTTTTTTACACATTTGAAGACAGAATTTTTTGATTATGTTTAAAGATTTTAGGTCCAAAAACATTTAATTACAAATTGTAATTCTTTTAAGAATATATAATAGAAAATTGAGAAAAATGAAATGAAAAAAAAATTCAATTAGTTTGATTGAAATTAGAATGAATTTACTACTACTACTACTAAATTAAACTGATCTTGTCTTTACTACTACTACTAAAATGTTATTTTTACTACAATTTTCTTACAACTTTTTCTCCATTACCTATTTTTCAAAACTCTTGCACATTGAAACAAATAATTCTAACATCTTTATGTAAACACACCAAAAAATACATATTTCTATCTAGGAATAAGTTATCAGGTACATCTCCAATAAAATTGACTTACAAATTAATGTAAAAAGAGTTAATTATATAAATAACTCTCTAATTTTAAATAATTATATTAAAATAATATTTTTATTCAAAAGAATCTTTTATTGAAGATACTCTTAATTAAGTTCTCACTGATTAATTATAGTTTATAGTTGTTAAACAATATATTCTTTTGCATTTATTTAGTTTATGACTAACAATAAAATAATTTAAATTAATGTTGAAATAAAATTGTAATTATATTATATTAAAAATATATAAATAACAGTCTATTTGAAAAAAAAAGTTGTAAAAAAAGAGCTTAAATAATAGGAGTAAGTAACATGTTAAGAGTCAAAGGTACAATTAAGATAGAGTGTAATAAGTTTAGAGTGCATTTCCTTGGAGTAAAACATAGTGAAATGATTATTGTAATTTACACTCTTGAAAATTGTTATAATAATTTAACACAATTTAATAATCCATACTTAATCTATATTTGATATACAGAGGAAGGTAAGTATAATGAATGCTCATAGTGTTTGATCTGCTGGTCTAGCAACGGATTGCCATCCAGTGCAGTGTTGAAGAATGTGTTTTAGATCATCTGTAGGGGCTTCCACTGTCCATGAGGGATAGTGTTCACTGGGGTGAAACATGATGCACTCACCACTCTCAGTCATTAACCCTGGTTGAGCACCGTTTAAGAATAAGTCTCCTTCAGACCTTATGGTACCAGTTGCTCCCACTTCCTTGTCTGCTGCCTGCAGTGATGGTACCATATCAGTACTAAAGAACCACAACATATAGGCCAAAACTAAAAGAGGGTAATGAAGAGATTGTGGATATGCAACAATTATAACATCTAAATTATGAGTGAAAAACAATACAGAAAAGAAAAAAATTATGCAACTTTAAGCAAGCTGAACAAATAAATAATATAATTGTTGTATTAGATTTGTCGGTCTTTCTCAGTTATACATTCAACTTGTCGTGAGACTCCAACTCACTTAAATTTTAATAATCCCCTCAAATGTGAGCTTCTTTCATATTGTTTCACTTAAATCCTCAAGCAGAAACATTTTTTACTTGCTTGAGTCCTTGAAGTGTTCTTGAAGTTGCGAGAGTTAATGTGTGGTTGCAAATATCCTGGAATAAACTGATTATCAATGCTCTTCAGTTTATGGAACCATGTTGAAGTTGCGGAGATCCTATATGTTAAGGTTCCTCTGTTTTAGGGACATGATAATAACTATAATGATTTTCTGTTTTTTCAGTTTAGTCCAATATACCAAGATTCTAGATCTGCATAATTGTGGGTGGTTATTTTATCTTACATTTGGGGTAAGGCTACTATAGTAGTCGATTTAAACTTTCTTAATTCAATAAGAATGCTCCATGGTTCGCCAGTGAAACTGGTTGTGTTACAGAAAAAAATACTAGCACATCAAGCAAGTTAAACACAAACTTTAAAATTATCGCATGCAAAGCAAGTGATCAATACCATGAACTAGTTTTTCATACTTAGAACCATTTTCACAACTCTGATAATATGTGGTTTCCAGTTGAATTCAAGAAAAAAACTACTTGGCACCAAAAAAAAGAACTAGACAAACCTTCTCAGTAAGGTACTTAAAAGCCACCTTCTTCTGGCCCGCTTCATAGATATTATGCTGTGAGAAAATCTGGCATAAACACACAGCACAAATGACATCAGTTTCGTGTATCATTCAAATCTAGTCGCAAAATTCACCCTAGGACCAATTCCAATTCAACAAAACAAACAAATAAACAAGGGTAATCACCTGGGCTTCCACACTAGCACACACAGCGTATATGCCCCAGTTTCTGATATAATTATTGTAGAGATGCACTTTCGCATACCTAACACGAGGGTGCCTCTGTCGCGTCCCATTGAAAAAACAATGGTGTATAGTGACCCTCATGCACCTATCGTTAACATGCGATGGATCAGCCCCAATAAGCATGGTTTTGTCATGCTGATAGAAGTGACACCTGCACACAATGGAATAACACTTCTTCAACAAGTGAAACAACACCCCTCCTTCGGTAATCAAAATGCAAACTAACTGTCCTTGTAAGTTACTATTTAAGAAATTTTTTTTTCTTGGTATTCCTTTGTAACTTGAAATTACTAATTTTTTATACAACTCCAATAACTAAAAGTTTCTACTTGTTTAATTCTTTAGCCAGTGTCCTTAACAAAACCCAAGCAGAAAATATACATAAGAAAACAAGATTATTGATGCTACCTTGAGACAGTAATGTCTGTGCTTTCTCGTGTGATATCTATAAGCCCGTCATCAAAATCAGCGAGCGTACAACGATCAATCCATATGTGTTTGGAATTAGGTTTGATCTGAATGGCGTCAACATCATGCCCTCTGCCTCCTTCGAACTCCAGATTGCAGATTATGACGTGTTCGCATTCCTTCAGGCGCAACCCTTTTCCGGTGAGTTTAATCCTCTGGCCACGACCATCGATGGTTTTGTGAGACGACACGTTCAGGTACGAGGAGAGATTAATGGTGCCGGACACCTCAAACACAATCCACAACGGTTCTTTTCGACGACATGCCTCACGCAGTGACCCCGGTCCATCATCTGCAGAAATATAAAGGTACTAAAGTAAGCCTAATCGATGAATGAATGATTAAAATAGATTGGGGAAAAGGGTGATGAATTGGTGAACCTGCGAGCGATGTGACGCGGTGAAGGGGACCGTGGAGGCCGCCGACGGCATAGCGGCCGAAGCCCTCGGCTTGGGCGGCGAGGGCGCGGAGGGTGGTGTCGACGTGGGTGTAAGGGAGAGACAGCATGTTGGAATTGGATATGGGTGGTGGTGGGGTTGGGAACGGTGGGGGATGGTCATATTTATGGGGTGGAGGAACGGAGTTAGGGTGTTTGCGATGACGGTGTCCATGGGCGTTACCCATTTGTGGGTGTAAAACGCTCCGAGCTGCGATCTTCAGTTCAGTTCTGTTTTGAAAGAGACACTCAAAACTGAAAAGTTTACTACTTTAGGGGGTTGGTAACTATTCTTCTCTACTCTAACCTACGCCACCGACATATTAGTTAGTACAAAACAAAAACAACAGCATTTACGTTGTTGTTTGAAGTTAGAATGTTACAGATTTGGAAGAATTTAGGGTTATTAAATGACTAAGAAAAATTTATGTGTATATATGATTGGTTTGATTGAAATGAGAAAGGTTGGTACTTGAATTTTTAAGTATAATGTCAAAATTGTCTTCAGGTATATTTTTTAAAATATAAACATTTAAAGAAAAAAAAAATGAAAAGAGGGGCAATGTGCTGTTTAATCCTCTCACATACACGTCACCTTAGATATCTGAATCTTTATAGTCTTGGTTCAGCCCATACAGATTGGGCTTAGAATTATCAAACAATTTTTATTTTTTTTAAATTGTTTTTTAAAAATAAAACAAAACAATTTTAAGTATAGACAATTTTTAAAAGATTATTCTTTTTATTCATATAAAAAATGTGTTCTTATATAACTATTTTTTAACCAAAAATGTGTTCTTATATAACTATTTTTTAACCAATATCATAAATACTATTTATTTATTTATTGTATATCCGGATATATTTACGGGTTTTCTTTATTAATTTATTGGTCCTGGTAAGCGTTCGTTACAATGAATTTGGTTTGAGTCAAATAAGATGATTGTAAGTGATACAAATATTTTGTTAAATATTAAACTCAATTATATATTCAAAATTTCAATTGAAGAGTATTAATATTAAAAAAAAAACTATTTTTAACTTGGAGATCATGAAAAGAACACAACCAAAAATTGAAATGTATAAGGACAAAGAAAATGGAAGTGATGTTGTCTTGGTTTTTATCTGTGTCATACATTATTGTATACATTGTGATTTGGACGGTCCAACTTTAGGGGAATTTCGGGGCACATAAGCTGCAGCGGAACAACCATGTTTTATTAATAATTATAAAATGCTATATTATCTTTGTATTTAATTTTGATATTTAAAGATTTATATAAATATAATTGATATTATTTTAATATTTTCATTATTTCTTGTAGAAAATAAATAAAGAAAATAATTTAAAATAATATTTAAAAATTCATAAAAGCAATTAATATCTTCTATTAATATTTTTAATCTTTATAACCATAATTAGATAATTATGGTGGTTATTGTTCTATTATTAGAATAATTATTAATTTCTTATAAATAGAGATACACAAATTATACATTAGTGGTGAATTTAAATAATAATGAAATCTTTTTTAGTTCTTTTTCTAATATAGTGGAGTGAAATATTTGTTAAAGAATCCTAATTTTTTTTCAAGACTTTCTTTTTTAAATTCCCTGTGTTTCTTTGCTTTGCTTCGACCATGACAACCCTAATTCCCACTCCGACTCCATCTTCACAAATTTCAATTTGTCTTCATCTGCGCTTCCTGATCATCTAGTAAATCCATCAAACCCCTTGTTTCTTCATGCGAATGAGAATCTCTCTCTCATTCTTGTCACGCCTCTTCTCACAGAGCATAATTTTCATGCCTGGTCTCGGAATATGCTTACCGTACTTGAATCGAAGAACAAGGAGTAGTTCATTGATGGTTCGCTTCCTCCTCCTCCGACTTCCGATTCTCTTCGCAATCCATGGCGGTGTTGCAACAAAACCGTCATGTCCTGGCTGATTCGATCTATGACAATCTCCATTGCACAATCTGTCCTTTACATGGATACTGCGACAGAGATTTGGAATGACCTATGGGAACGTTTCTCTTATGGTGATAAATTGTGTATCTCTGATCTTCAAGCTTCTATTCACGAGTGTAAACAAGGTGATTCCACCGTTTCTCAATATTACACTCAGTTAAAGACTCTTTGGAAACAACTTGATCAATATCGCGTTGTATTGGTATGTTCTTGTGATAATCCATGTTCTCGTGGTATCTTGCTGAAAATCAAGAAGGAACGTGAAGATGACTGTGTGATAAAAATTTTGTTGGGTCTACGAGGAGTACTCTCAAGTTCGGTCCAACATGTTAATGATGGATCCTATGTCGTCCATTATCAAGACTTTTTCTCTAATTCAACAACATGAACGCGAAATTGATGGTATTACAATAAGTTCCCCTCCTACTGACTCTTCAACAATTATTGCTTCCACTGATGCTTCAACAAAACCTCTTTCCTTTCAGCATGGAGGTTCTTCAAATAGTCGCGGTGGTGGTTGTTTTGGTAGAGGTAATCGCTTTTGTGCAAAATGCAAGAAGACTAATCACACAATTGATTCTTGTTTCAAAATTTATGGATATCCTTTTGGATACAAAAACAACAATAAAGGCAACACCACTTCAAAGGCTTCTACCAATTTGATTGTGGTATATTCAAACACAACTTCTCAATCCATTATCCCAGAAGAAAGTTCTAATCAAACTCAGTTTACTCTTTCAAATGAGCAATATCATGCTTTTTTTGGCTCTCATTCAACACAATAATGATGTTCCTCCCTCTATGAATCATATTCAAACTCCCAAAAATTCCTCCTCAGGTACACCTTTCTCTTTTTCTCTATGGGTGCTTGATAGTGGTGCTACTGACCACATTTATCCTTTTTGACATTTGTTTGATTCTCTTAATCCTATTGAACATATCCCTATTTGTCTTGCTAATCATACTATTGTTTTAGCAAAATTATCTGGAACTATTAGATTAGGTAACTTAGTTTTGCCTAATACTTTTTATGTACCTCATTTTGCAATGCACTTGATTTTTATTCTGAGGCTTACTTCTTTTGATTGTCTAATATTTTTTTCCGACACCAATTATCACATTGTGCAGAAATCCACTTTGAAGACGATTGGTGTAGCTAAGATGAAGCAAGGCCTCTCCTATCTTTTGAATTCTGCTGAGCATGACTTGAGTGCATCTACTTTAGTTGATATTCATCCTTTTTTTAATCATTGTTTTACCACTGTTAATAACATTGTATATGATACATTGTCCAACAATGTTGCTAATAATAATACTTTGAATGACTCTATGTTCTCAATATTCAAAAATTTCGTTTCATAAATTTCAAGTTTGTAATATTTGTCACTATTCTAAATAAAAAAAAATTATCTTTTCTACATAGTCATACAACATCTTCTAGATTTTTTGAACTAATACATGTTGATATCTGGGGTCCTTTAAATGTCAGTTCTTTTCAAGGATACAAATATTTTTTAACTATTGTTGATGATTACAACCAATTCACTTGGGCTCATTTATTAAAAACTAAATCTAAAGTAAAAGTCATACTTCCCTCTTTTATTACTTTCATTGAAAAACAATTTGATGTTCATTTGAAACGGTTGCGATCTCACAATGGCAAAGAGTTCTATCTTTATGATTTTTTTCAAACCAAAGGTATTTTACATGAAACTTCATGTGTCGAACGACCACAACAAAATGAAATTGTTGAACGTAAGGATCAACACATTCTTAATGTATGTCGTGCGTTACTCTTTCAAGCTAAACTTCCAACAAAATTTTGGTCATTTTCTATTCAACAAGCTATTCACATTATTCATTGATTACCAACTCCTTTATTATCTTAAAAATCCCCCTTTGAAATGATTTATAATTGCAAACCAGATCTCACTGAACTCAAGGTCTTTGGTTGTTTGGCTTTTGCAACCACTTTGTCTTCTAGGGGAACCAAACTTGATTGTCGTGCATCTAAATGTATTTTTCTAGGCTACAAAAATGGTACTAAAGGTTTTCTTCTCTTCAATCTACATAATAAATATTTTTTAATATTTAGAGATGTGTTATTTTATGAAAAGATATTTCCTTATTCTGCACATATATCAAGCCTCTGATTCTTCTCTACCAAATTTTGACCAGAATAATGACCCTACTATTTTTTCTAATCCTATTCCAACTATTACTTTATCTACACCTCAATTACCTTCTTTAGATACAACTAATGATGCAAGTCAAGTCATTATCCCTCAGACTAGAGCTTCAACTAGAATTAGAAAACCCCTAGGGTATTTACAAGAATATTATTGTGAAAATCTTGCTTCTTTTTTGGCTGCTTCTAATTGTCTTTATCCTCTCTCTTCTTTTGTTACCTATAATAATTGTTCTCCTTCTCACACTTTTTTTTGTCTTTCTATCTCTGCACAACATGAGCCTACTTCTTTTAAAGAAGCCAATTCAGAGGAGTGTTGGAGAAGAGCCATGGAAGTAGAACTTCAAGCTTTGGAGAAAAATCAAACTTGGACACTGGTTAGACTTCCTGAGGAAAAGCATCCTGTGAGCTGTAACTGGGTTTACTGTATCAAATATAAGGTTGATGGTAGTGTGGAACGTTACAAGGTCACGCTAGTGGCTAAGGGATTCACTTAAACAGAAGGGGTGGATTATTTTGAGACTTTTTCTCCTGTGATCAAACTCACTACTGTACGATTTCTACTTTCTTTAATAGCGACCAATAGTTGGTTTCTTCATCAATTAGATGTTGATAATGCTTTTTTGCATGAAATCTCTTGAGGAAATATATATGAAGCCTCCACCAGGTTTCAAACTTTCTCATCCACGCCTTGTTTGCAAATTGAAAAAATCTTTATACGGCCTTAAACAAGCAAGTAGACAGTGGAACCAAAAATTAACCGAGACTCTTATTTCTCTTGATTTTATTCAGAGTTCTGTAGATCACTCCCTTTTTATCAAAAAGTCTTATTCTTCTATCACAACTCTTTTGATTTATGTTAATGATGTGGTATTAACCGGTAATGATATGGCTGAAATTTCTGCTGTCAAAACACATTTGCATGCTCAGTTTCACATCAAGGATCTGAGTCATCTCAAATATTTTTTAGGTCTTAAAATTGCTCGATCTCAATCTGGTCTCATAATTAATCAACGAAAATACTGTTTA